ATCAGGGGACATGAGACAGCTCAAGAATAAGACCGGTATGGCCACCAGCCTTAAGACACCTCCATGCTTAAGCCAAGGTCACATCAACCTATTCGTGGCGTAAATCACTTGCTAGCTTCTATTTAACAATTAAAAAAAAATTAGTATCACTATTTTTGTCACTTTTTTATCATTTTTTATATTTATTATTTAATATGTAAATTTTACTATCTTATTTTTTATTAAAATAATAATATATTATATTAATAAAATTCACGTGTTAAATAATAAATATAAAAAATATTAAAAAATGACACTAATATTTTTCTTTAACAATTTTATGAGCAAAAGGACTCCTATTCATTCTTATTGAGTTTAAGCCCTACTACTTATACCAAGTGAATCTCGTCAAGTGAAAAATAAGACTCAATTTAATAGAATCCGTCATTTTATTAGCTATTGGATTTTATTTCTTTGGAAATGAATACTATTTTTGTATTTGTAATTTCAGCCTAATTCATTTCGTGAATTTAAATTTTCAATTCAAATTGAGATGTTATTTTTTTTTAGAGTTATTAACTGTAACAGAAAAAATTAAATATGATATTTTTTAAAAAAATTTAACTGTAAAAATTTAAAATTAAAAACTCAAATCGATAAAACTGACGAAACGAAAAGCTTACAAAAACAATCATTCGCTAAAAGCATCTTCACGTGATGTTTGGGGGCAATCAACTTATTTAAGGCATTTTGTCAACGTCAAAAAAATTTCTTGCATCGATATATTTCGTACCATGTTGGGAAAACGAGATCCACACGTCAAAAATCAAAACCTCGATAGGTGAAGAGATAGCTAAAGCTAAACTTTCTTAAACAGCTCAAGTTCCTTTCCGAATGAAAGACCAATCAGTATATTTTCCGAATGAAAATATCAAATTATGAAAAAGACCAATCAGTATAATATGCTTAAGTACTCTTTTAAATCGGAGTTAGTAGATTTCTTTTTTTTTAAATAAACAGTTAGTCAATAACTTATAACAAAAGCCGGCACCTACTAATATTTGTCCAATATCAGACTACTCACTGAGTACTACTAACATAGAAAGAAAAGTAGAATAACGTGTCTCAAAACAAAGGGCATAACATTTTTAAAATGATTTTAATTATAATATAAAAATAAAAATTATTTTAAAAATTATTTTGAGACATATTCTAAAATTGTGTTTAGTTAGTTTTTTAAAAGATTATTTTGAGTATAATAAAAATGTAAAATCATGTTTAGTTATAATTATTAATTATTATATTATAAAACTATTGATAAGTACAAAAAAAATGAAAATAGAAAAAAGCAAAACAACTTTCAATCGTTTTTTATTTTTATTTTCGTTTTCAAAACATTTACTAAATAAACACGGTTAGCAAACTATTTTTATTTTCATGCCTCAAAGACGTGCAAAAACGTTTTAAAAAAAAAGTAAAAATCAATTCTAAATGCACCCAAAATTTCATTAACACTTAACAAATGTCCCTAAATTATTAATTTGGATTGAATAAACAAATAATCTAAAGAAATTAATGAACACTAGAAGAACACAAACAATCTTAAAAAAAGTAAAAAGAATAAAGTAAAGACGTTAATCACAAGGTATTGTATTCCAAAAATAGTGCAGAATTTAATTGAGAATTGAGGGTTTAATTCTTTTGATTAATTTGATAGTTTATTCTCTATTTCTAACTATATTAAAAGAGTATATATATATATATATATCCACTGTGCACTTATCCGAGTCTAAAATGCACCGTCTTGGTGCTTCAATTTTTTTTTATTATTATTTTTTATTTTTTTGGCCTTTTGCTTTCTTCTTTTATTTGTTTGTTGCTCGTCTTCTGTCATATTAAGACTTTTTAGTGCTTCTGTATCTCTCTCTCTCTCTCTCTTATTCATTTCAAACTCTTTTCTTTTTTTCTTTTGTTTTTTTGCCTTTTATGTGCTTCTTTGTTTTTGTTTTTTATTTTGTTTTTGATACCTGTTAAATCTTAAATATAAAAAAATAGCAACCGTTCATTATGTAATGGTCTAAAATGGTGAATTTCAGGTTCTTTATTTTTTTCCCATTCATTTTTAATTTTCAGTTCCTTTGTTTTTTTTAGTGATTTTTTAGTGCTTTATTTTTTTTCTTTTCTTTTCAAGTTTCTGTTTTTTTTTAATATGGTTCTTTTCAAGTTTTAACTCCTGTTTTTTTTTTTTTTTTAAATAGTTCTTTTCAAGTTTTAACTCCTTTGGTTTTTTATTATTTAGAATATATCATGTATTTCCGTGATTAAATGTATTTTTACTTAAAATACTATTAATGTACACTTTTTTTTTTCAAATTTTACACCTTATAGTGGAGTTGGTTCTATAATAACTATTAAGACATGCATGCTACTACTTGAAAGTAAACTGTATAGTTGTTTTGAATAAGTAGGATATTTTTTCCTGTATATTGTTATTCGTATTTCACATTATGAATATTTTAATTATAACTCAATATATGTTTTCCTTCTTATTAATTTTATGTGATGGTTAGATTAGTAATTTTTAATTTGTATGTTTTCCTTGTTCGTAGAGGGGCAGGAAATGTATGTTTTCCTTCTTATTAATTTTATGTGATGGTTAGATTATTATTTTAACACGTGATGTTTATCATTTTAATTTTTGCCGGTCATTGTTATGATAGATGTGTGGTTGTGTTTTGCATTGGATTATATAAAATTTGGAGAAATTGTAGTAAATACTACATTTTTAAACTACGCAAATAACAAATTTTAAATTTATTTAAAGTAAATAGTAATTTATTATGGAAATGTTCCGATTAATAAAAAAACAACTTGCGTGATAAAAAAAAATCTTTATTTACATAAAAAGAAAATTTTT